ATATACTCCACGGACAATTTTATACTTTAATAGAGTTATAACCTTTAAATTTGAAAAGTTCAAAATTGACATTCTTCCAGCAGGTGCTGGCTAACAATATGATTACTCAGTGAAAATAACTAAAATCGGGCAAAGTTTTGCAAAATGTCAAGTAAATGCCAGGGATGATTTCTGCAGAGCTTGTCTATGTTTGCAAATCATTTATATTCATAGCATGAAACTAAAATCGTAATCCAGTTCTTCATAAACGCAGCTCATGTCATGTCAACACTGTTGCTAATAGGTCCTTCATGAGAATCAACTGTGAGGTTCATCCATTTCAAAATGATATGGGTTTTATGCTAAAACATAAGAGCTTGTCACGGTCGATGGTTAGGTTAAACCCAAGATGCAGGCAGACACTGAGGGACTTCAAAGGTTAACTACAATAAATAAATAAATAAATAAATCTATTTTAAATTAACAAAAATGAAAACATTGTGGAAGCAACAAATGTACAAACTTGGGAGAAGAAACCACAGGGAGACATGAGGGAGCAGAAGGAGGACTGAGACGCGCACATTTCCGAACAATGAGCTGCTGGAGTGGTAGTGATTGGCTGGTAATATACAAACTGAGGGAGGGAGGAAAGTAGAAGTACCTGGAATGATTGATGATTATGGAAAGGTGAGGTTGGTGACTGAAAAAAAAAATAAATAAATACTGGGAACGCTGAGTAAAAAGTAAATGAGATATGACTCTGGACAACATCAAGGATCAAGGAGACTTCATTGTCATTCACATCACATGTGGTACATGAGATGGAACTAAAGTGTGTACTCAAGGTCCTAGTTACACCCAAAATAACAATAATATAAAATATAAAAAAAAGAAAGAAAAAAAGAACAGCATACAGTGTTCTAAGATACAGTACACTCTAAATAATAATAATATACTATGGTGTATTAAAAACAGCAGCCTGGACATGAGTCTGTTGTTAATAGATGAGTAAGAATCAGCAGCACAAATGAAGTCACAAATTACCCATTAAAGTGACATTACAGTGGTTATTCTCGTAAGGGATTTATGATTCTAACAGGTTCAGGGTAGAAGATGTTCCTCAGTCTAGTGGTTCTACACTTAATGCTCCTCCACCTCCATTCTGAGGGGTGCGGGGCAAAAAGTGTGTGTGCTGGGTGAGTGGGGTCCTTCATGATGCAGGTAGCCCTCTTCCTGCATCTGGAGGTGTAGATGTCTGTGATGGTGGGGAGTCTGCTCCAACAGTCTTCTGTGCAGCCTTCACCACTCTCTGCAAAGCTTTTCTTTCTGCAGCTCTGCAGCCTCCATGCCACACGTTGATGCTGGAGCACAGGATGCTCTCCACTGCACACCTGTAGAAGGAGGTGAGAACTGAGCTTCCATGAACACAAGGATGAATCTAAATATGATAAAACAGAAGCGAGTGGATAAGAATCTAAACTAACAGGAGGCATTAAAATAAGCTCACAAACAAAAGATCTCAAAGAACCTAACAAACTCAAAGAATTGTTTCAAAAATTGTTCTAGAATTGTGGCGATCAAAGTGTCTGCATGTTGGAGCAGCTCTGGTACATTCGTTCTGGGATGTTGCTTTTGAAAACTTTAATTCCTCTTTTCTGTGTGTAAATCACTGTTTTGGATTATTATTTTCTCTGGTATCAGATGCTGTGCAGCTGGGAGGATTTTTACTGAAACATTTTTACTTTCGGACAATTGTTATGATGCATAACCATGTCAACAAAACTTTTTTTTTTTTTTTTTACAACCATGAGCAGCTGATTAACATCTGAAAATCTCAAGTAATACCTCAACTACAGCCCCAAATCCCAAATGAGTTGAAAAGGAGGTGCCATGGATGCATTCCTGTCTACCTGACAGCGGTGCTCGAGTGCCTGACTGCCAAGATCCTGGAGCTGGTGGAAAACGCAGCTCGTGACAACGGCAGGACCAGGATCATCCCCCGACAGCTGCAGCTGGCTGTCCACAACGACGAGGAGCTCAACGAAATGCTGAGAGGCGTGACCATTGCTCAGGGAGGAGTTCTACCCATCATTCAGGTGGTCCTGTTGCCCAAGAAGACTGAAAAACTCGCCAAGTCCAAGTAGCCATATCAACTTCTGCAACCAGTTTCTTCAGATCTGCTGTAAGACATACAATAGATCCTTTCTGCCCACAGCCATCAGCATCTTTAACAACTCTTTGATGAAAAAAGGATGATGAGTTACAATACCTAATTCCCCTTAGGGAATAATAAACTATTTCTGAAATGAATCACTGAATAATCAAAACAAAAACACACACATATGACAGAGCTCTTTCATAATTACATTGCCATGATGGTGCTTTCACAGTCTATCCCAAAGATAAATGTATAGAAACAGCATTTTTGTTGACTTTCAAGAGCTAGCAGTCCGAGGGTCCTCAGAGTCCTGCAGTGCTGTGTTTGACTAAACAGGTCACCTTGAGGTTGAAAAAAGGAAAACTGAATATAAATTGTACAAACAGCTTGTCTGAGGGAAATAGGTTTTATTTTCTTGTTGGGTTAAAAAAGTCAATTTGTTTCCATTTTCTCTGACCTGTTAGTGTCAGTCTTGGAAGATGTTTAAGTAAATTGCTTTTTTTTTTTTGGCTAGATGAAGTTCAGATGTTCTTTATATATTGCTTACTGTCATTAGTCTCCTAACAGATGTGTGGCGATCACGTTGTCATGACAATGGCTTCAAAGGTTTTGGTTTGGATGTTTCTGTGAATCCTCCAGTCTCTTGTGGTTCCCTGTTTTTCTCCCAAGCTGTATTGTTCAGATTTATTCTCTAGTCAGCCTGTGTGTTCAGTTCAACGCAGCCATCTGCCTGCCTGTCCATTCTCATCCACAGCTACGCTCGCCTACTCTCCCTCTCCACTGACCACACTCACCTCCAATCCCCAGGCTGCCTGCTCTCTCTGCTGTCACTCCATGCTCCCCTTGCAGCTCAGCCTGTGGATCACTCTCCTCTCCCCCAAAGACTGCTCACTGTTGCTCTGCCTTCATTCTCCATTCAGCAATCTCCAGCTTGTCCCCCTGTATCATACATCTTTTACGCTCTGAAAATAAAATTTGAGAAATAAATTAATAAACTGTTTAGATTATCCTTGCATTTGGGCATTGGGTTAGAGATCTTTGTGTGTTAGTAAAGAAAAAAAAACAATACTAGTTTTTAATCACATTCTTTTAATGGGAGAATATTAACTACTTTTGCATGAAGGATTTTTATACTGGACTCATAACGCCTACCACACCAGTGATGGTTCTAAGTTTGACAGAAGCTCATCGATAACTCAGCACTGGACCATTTGCCAGTGGGTTTAAACATTGATTGTTAGAAGCATTTCAACATATGATAAACACTGTCAGGTTCTGTTAAAGGCAGATTTTTCAAGCCCATCTTACTTGTTTCATCAGTATTAATAAATAATTGTGCTTCATTAGTATTTGGGAATCTCTAAATTTGCCACACCATATTTTCACAAATCGCCATAACTGAAGATTTTTTTTGTCTTCCTTACTCCAGTTATATGAAACTTTTTTTTAATACACTCCCTGTTATGTTTATGAGAAATCAAATGTTTTTATTGATTCTCAAGATCGTCAGATTAAATCTGCAAAGTATTTTCCAATACTTTACTTTGGTGCGTGCTTTGGATTTTAACAATAAAAACTAGCTACATACAATTAACTGGGGGTAAGTTTAACCCTGAGGAGTACATAAAGTCAGGGGTCTTTCAGGCAGCACGAGTCAACGTTTTTGTGGCTGTGAATAAAACATCATTAAATGTTGTTCGTGCATACCTCGGAGATGAGAGTACAGATGCACAAACATGCAGTTGTTTGCATGTTAAATGAAAGGTGCTGCATATTTTACTGAGAAATAAGGCTTGGTGGGAAATGCATTATGCAAGTTTTATGAAATTGCAGAGTTGACCTTCACATGAGAAATGAAGGTTGGTTGGAGCTGTGCCACAGAACCTTGCTGGAGTCACGCCTGTTGTCTGATTGTTCCCAGTAGATTTACTTTGTTGACTCGTTTGACTTTGCCTTGTGTGGCGACTGCTTGCAATAATGGAACAAATGGTTGTAATGTCATTGGGAGGTGATGAAGCTAAGTTAGGTGAGTCGCTCTATCTATCCTCTGTCGCAGACATCTCGTACATCGCATGATGGATTCAGCAGATGGCACAAATCTCTTATAGCAAGTGATATGGATGATGGCAGGAAAAAGCCTGACCTGTCTGAGACTGTAGGGTCATAAATAAATAAATATAAAACTAAACTGTGTTGTTATAAGCATGTCAGATTTAGGACATGTATTTGTCTCACTTTTGCCTAGATTTCACATTTCCATATTTTCCGAATTATACGTCGCTCCAGAGTACAGGTCGCATCAGTCAAAAAAATGCCTCATGAAGCAGATCAAAACATGTATAAGTCCCTTCCGAGTATAAATACATAAATAAATAAAGTGCTATGTATTGCCATCATTGTATGTTCCCATACAAAGACAAAATTTTCTCTCTGATTTTAACCCATCGCACCTGGGATACACCCAGGTGGAGCAGTGGGCAATTAAATAAGTGCCCAGGGAGCAATTCGGGATTAGATGTCTTGCCCAGGGACACCACAAGATGTGCAATGACTGGGGATCGAACCCAGGACCTTCGGGTCCCGAGTCGGCTGCCCTGCCTCTACACCATAAGTTGCATTTATTTAGACGTGTATTTCACAAAGTGCAAGAACAGACATTTAATCTGAAATAACAGAACATACCTGGGATCCTGAACAGGCTTAATTAACATAACAAGCCAACAAGTCCAACAAGCAAGTTAATGATAAATTCATGAATCTCATTCCACATCACTGAATACATTGAATTCTTCATCCTCGATGTCACTTCTGAACAACTCAGCCAACTCTGGAGGAAGATGGTGGGGTGTGAGGGGGTAGCAGAAGAGGAGCAACATATAGTTGTCAAAAGCCTAGAGGGCCCTGTCGCAGATGCAAATGGTAATGTTTACTCTTTGGTTCATGTCAGTATGAATGAACATTCAACACGTCAGTCAAAAATTGTGTCATGAATAGGAAAAAAAAAAAAAAACGTATTGAAGCCGCTTCAGACTATATGTTGCAGGACTGGCCAAACTATGAAAAAAAGTGAGACTTAAAGTCTGGAAAATACGGTTCACTGAAAACAAAAACGTCTTTGTTTTTTTGTTATAATGGAACAAATGCTCTTATTTTTTTTAAATCAAACACTGAGTCAAGTTCTTTTTTTTTTTTCTTCAATGTGATTTTTTATTATGAGTTACTTTTGATACTGAATGATAAATATGATTTAGTTAGAAATTATGTTTTTATCTTTTATCTTTTATATAATATGTTTTTGTTGTTTTCTTAATTTGTTTGTCGTACCAGTCAAAACGATAATCAGATATTATTTCTCTGCACATTTCGAAGGAGTGATTAAAAATAGCAGCTCTGCATGACAAACAGTTAGGCTGTTGTCTTTGATGGTCTGTCCAGTTGGCCTGAAGAAACACGAGGTCAAGCAGACTGATCAGAGCTGGAGAAGATCTTCAGTGACAGCACATCAGTACCAGCAACTCCTCTGACAACACCCCTCATTGCCACTGTCACTCTCTAAATGTGCATACATGCATGCATGGCAATACAGACAAGCATGCACATACAAAAATGCACATACACACACTTAGTGAGTTGTTCTTTATAAAGAATGACTGTAGGGCAGCCTCCCTCCCTGTGTACAATGGTGACATTGACACACAGTAACAGAGGTGAGGAAACATTCACCAACAAGGCTGGTTGAGTATTTATAATAATCCTGAGAGCTCCAAAGGAATAAAAAAAAAACATTCAAATACTTATTTCTGATGTGAGCAAAGCTGTGAATGTTGTGTACTATACACATGTATGGACATTCTTTTAAATATTGGCTCCCTTTCAAAGATGCATGTGTCTGAAGTTTACAATTCCTTTAAAAACATTTAGCTATAATATTCTAAGTTTTTCAAGATTCAGAAAACAAACAAACAAACGAAAACATAATTTGTTCAGTAATAGTTCCCATGTATTCCAAACAAGATATTACAGATGATGAGCCAGAGAGGGTGGTCGGTACTACTTGGGGTGACAAATGCTCATTGTTATTTTGAGGATGGTCAGCATCTATAGCAATGGAAAATATTTAGTGTTACAGATTTGGTAGTCATTCGTGTTATATCAACATACTTTGTATATGTGATAGTACAAAAACTGCTAAATTGGCTATTTGCTGACAGTAGTGGAAAATCGATCTGTCCTAGAAGGCAGCCATAGAAACCATTTTAAATGCTTCTGTTATATGTTTATGACAGATTAGATATTTCATTGTTTTGTGAAGGGCTACAAATTATGTGGTCCTGATGAGGACCAACACAACCCATGGTCATATCCATGAACACTGAAAACATTACCAATTGAAAACACACCATAAATCTAAAATGTCTCAAAGTAGGTTGTATGTCTGGGCAATGGTATACTATTTAATACGTATGCCCGTGGCACAATTTTAATTCAAGGTACTTTAGGAAGGGTGGCACAGTGGCTCAGTTGGTAGAGCTGTTGCCTCTCAGTGAGAAGGTCACCGGAATGAATCCCAGTCAACCACCTTTCTGGGTGGAGTTTGCATGTTCTCTCCGTGCATGCGTGGGTTTTCTCTGGGTACTCCTGTTTCCTCCCACATTCCAACAACATGCTTGTTAGGCTGATTGGTAACTCTAAATTGTCCCTAGATGTGATTGAGAGAGTGAATAGTTGTTTGTCTCGTTTGTCTATATGTGTCCCTGTGATGGACTGGAGACCTGTCTGGGGTGTCCACCGCCTCTAGCTGTGACTGCTGGACATAGGCACCAGTGACTCCTGTGACCCAAAAAAGACGAAGTGGGTAAAGATAATGGATGGATAGCTAGATTAGAACTCAGTTTAACTGACAAGAACAGAGGACGTTTTAGGCACAGTAATTTCATTGGTACAAAAAGGTGTTAGCTGAATAACAAAATAGGGGAAAAAAGCAAA